CACTTGCAGTGCACACAAAAGGCATAAAGGAACAGATAAATCAAAAGAAAAAATTCCTAACCTCAACAGTTTTCTATACAAGTGGTTCACAAATGACACCACTGAAAAACAACTAAAATGGCTATAAATCTGTCATTATAAGTGGCACAGACAAACAAATACCTTCAGTACACGCAGCATAATTGTGTTCATATTATGTCTAAAGGACACTCACCAAATCAGTCTACAGTCGAGTAAAAGTGGTTCAACAAAAATATGAGAGGTCATAGCTCTTCAATAAAGACACTGATTGAATCTGTAAATGCGGGACAACACAGCTTATACATCAAAGATAACATGTACCTACCTAATCTGGTTAAAATGACCACTTTCAAAAAATATAAAATACACTCAAGCATTCAGAGAGCCACCATTTTAGCCAAGAGCATGGCCCGGCACACAGGATATGACATCTCCTTTGATCTTGTACAGCTTTAATTGGAAACCGACTTCCTGTTTCTTATCCATGTGTGTATGTAGTATCTATGATTTGAGGGTCTAAAATTTCGTGTTTTCTCAAAATGTCCTTAGACAGGGGCGTATCTAAGGGTGGGCCTGGGTGGGCCTGTGCCCGACCAACTCAGCAGTCCAAAAAATTTTTTTCTTTTGTATATTAGTCCTTTCAAAAATATTGCTCACTTTATTATGATAGCAATGAGACAAGACTAGCATAGCTAATAGTTTTAGCCAGTGTAAATATAATGATGACATGGTAGAGACTTCCATAGTTCCATTTGGGCAATTGGGCTGCCATTTTTAAAATAATAACTACTACTAACCAATCAGTTGTTAGACTATTCACATTAATTGGACTCGCCACGCTTGCGTAGGCGGGTACTAAGCAGTTGGGTTGTCATTCTGTCTGTCATTCTGTCACGAAAATTCCTGTTAATTCCTAGTCAATATCTTTTTTACTGAGCTCTCCTGAGTTATAATTCTTTTTAAGCTTTCAGAAAAAGATAATTTATTTAGCTCCGTTGTGTTTTCATAGCAATCCGTGGTAGTAAAAGCTGAATATTTCAAGAATAGACCACTTTTCCTAGCCAAATCTTCGTGTTTCACTCTATTTGGTCAAGATTAGCATTGATAGGTAGAGAAAAGTACATAGATTAAAAAATATGTGGGAATTTTCTAATCTCTTTTTTGTTTGCGAGTTACAGTTGCTCAAAGTTTGTGATTTAGCCTCTTCGAAAAATTTTCAGGCAGCACTGGGGAAAGCAGGAGCAACCAAACTATCTCAGTCTCTTTTAAATATCTAGGCAATTTTTTGTGCTTACTCTTTCTTTGAATAGAGCTTCAGATGCTAAAATAAATTTCAGCTTTTCTTCTTTCTCCTACCCACGTGCCATGTTTGCACTGCTAAGTGCTGACCACACCTAAAATTTATTTTATGGATCAGTGCAGTAATTGCATTGTTGCACTTTGCACTTTGTCAAAATCTATTATCCTTTTTTCAAATATCAAGTTGCTTGTATAAATAATATCATGATGGGGGCAGTACAAGTAACACATTATCCCTCAGGTGAATCTCAGCAGGCGAGTCCACGCACCATGGTGCTTCATTATTAAAGTAATCGAGTTGAAAATGGCTAAGAAACTCTGCTGAGTCTGTTTAAATGTCTTCCCAAGGCCAGTACTACTACTAATGAAGAAAATATAAGCACTGAAGTGCACATCTTAGCTTAATTAAAGTAAAAATCGTAGTATTTAATTGACCACGC